GCTTTGAATTTTTTCATCACCAATTTGGCAAGGGGTCCCTGCGCTTCTACAAGCCGCATGGGCATGCGTATATTTTTTTATTTTTTTATCTTAAAAAAATATGTAAATGCTATAATTACTTTTTTAAAGGTAGAAAAAAAAGGCAAATATCTTAAAAAAGGCAAAAAAGGGCAAACATCTTAAACAAAGGCAAAAAAAGGCAACATCAAATGTGTATATATGGAATCAGGGAAAGCTAAATCGTGGACATTCTTAATCGAATATACTCTATCTCTTTAGNCAGGGAAAGCTAAATCGTGGACATTCTTAATCGAATATACTCTATCTCTTTAGCAGAAAAAAAGGCAATTTCCATAAAATCCGTTCCCTGGCTATGAGATATTTATATTTCATAAACACAAAAGACAGCATTAGATAGCCTGTTTTAAGACCCTTCTACTGATATCTACACCAATGACATGGACTGAGGAGTGGGGCCTCAGTGGTAATTTAAAAAATTGCCTTTTTTCGAATTTCAGGTAGCAGCCACGCCCACAAAGGCATACAAATCAAAATATCCTGGAACGAAACCTTCCTAGTTTTTTGGTACTTTAATTCTTGAAAGTTTGAAAAAAATTAAATGAAGGGACGTACAGTCGCCACATACATACCAAAGCATCTCGTAGTGGAGACACGAACCAAAACGCATTTACCTCTATATCTTTCCAACTAGTAGCCGGAACTTAATATATAAAGTATCGTTTGAAAGGTATTGGCCTATAGAATAACACTAAATATCTTGGGTGTACCCACATGCCTTCTTAATCCGGGAAAAGCAAAAAAAAGTTTTTTGTTTCGCATCACTTTAGCCTGATTTTTAAGAATCTGGTTAATCGTTTATGAAGCTTGAATACATTTTCTGGACACACTCTGCAAGACCTTTCCAACGATATCTCAAACATGTCGATTGGACCTCTGTGTAAAAACTTCCAAATCTCGTGTATATATAATCGAGTCATTTCAGCATGCTTCTATCGCTGCTCGTGCGCTGTGATTAAGCATTGGCTTACATTGTCCCAATTGGCGATTCGTGCTGATCGAGCTCAGGAAGGATAAAAAGGACACGCAGCTACTGAACGACTGAGGCAGGGAACATGATCTACATCGTCAAATGAGTAGTGTCGTAAGTATGCAATTACATCGCGTTATTGACTAAACCGAGCTCTCGTGAGTTACGATTGGCCCCATGGATGCGGTTTTCCAATATTATATTGCGTCAAAGTCTCATTCGGGGACACCAGGATTGTGTCTCTAGATAAATACCTAAATACCTTCGTTGACTCATTTACCAGAACCATTGCGCGCTTTACTTTACAGCGACTTGTCAGAATCAATAGGTATCCGTGAACGTCAATAAATACAACTATTCGGCATCTAAGGGAATTTCGTCCCTTTATCCTACAGTGAATTTCTGCAGGCCAACGATTCTCACCCATTTTATCTTGTTATCACCAGCGAATGCAGAACAAACATTTATTGAAATTTAAAAGGTATAAATTTCACTACTAAAAATTTAAAAATGTTCCTGAAGCTTGCAAAGAAGTTTGGAAAAGAAATATTACTGTTTTTGTTTTTAGGAATAGGGTGGGTAGCTTGTGGAACATCCTATTGAATCATGCGAATATACTACCCAAGGCGAACTTATATAAGGTGGTGTTACTAGCTCAGCTGATTTTGTGTATGTGTTTCGCCGCACGGCTTCTGATATCAAAATGAAAAATTTTGTTTGAATTTCTACACACACTCTTACAGATTTTGACAGTTCATGCCGCCAAAGCAAAAACAAAATACATGTAAATTTTTGTTTTTGTTTTCCTGCTATCACCTTATATAAATTCGCCTTGATACTACCAAAAGCATTTTAATTTGCCTTGGAAAAAAATTCAACAAAGCACTTGGTGGAACAAAAAAAAAATTGAGGAATCATTTGCCTGTTTGTCAATAATTAAATTGAAATAATTTAATAATTGATCTCAGGAAAGTATACCTACTTATATATTTTTCTTCAAACAAAAAATTTCATATACTTTCGTATCGAAAAGATAGTAAGCAAAATACAAATAAACTTTTTGAATGGAATCCAAACGAAGCAATTATCAAACTCTGCACAAGCCGCAATCATCAAAGATACAAGTCTTGGTAAGTTCGCAAGGTAATATGAACAAATCTCCGAGGTTTTAATTTTTTCCTTTGCAAGAAAACGGCTAGCGAAGTGAGCCTTACACCAAGTCAGGCTGCAGAACAAGCCAAGATAAGTGTAAGTTAAGTTGCAATAACTTCTACATTTTAGAATTAATAATCAATAAACGAAAACTTAGGAGCGAAAAAATCCACTAGATGCACTAAGTCGTTTATCACTAAGGCATCAGGGTTTAGAAAAACGTTCGGTAAATCCTTTAAGCACATTCTAAAATAGAAATTAAAATACCTACTAACCAATTTTCATGGACGAAAAAGGGTCTACAAGACGTTGATGATGAATACTTAAAAAAGAATGTCTTCTCTCGTTCAATTTTAAATAAGCATTCGGTAACTGCATCAATGTTTACCGTTTATACTTACATATATTTTCTTACATACATATGGCATTAATTTATTATCTATTTTAATCTTCATGTACAGGGACTGAACGACACTTATGAACAGCATGGTCGTGCAATTTCGTTGGTAAATTTGGTATGTTCTGTACATACAACTATATCAAGTATAAAAAGTTCTTATCTCTGATATAACAGGCGCAGGGCAATGCTTCCCACATACAGATGCAAAAACATGAAGCAAAACAGCAGTCAACGCCGCATTTAACGCAGGTTCAGCCAACTTCTCAGTCGCCCCAAGCATATCAGGCGCCAACGGAATTTGTATCGCATCAACAAGTACCTATCCATCAGCCACAATCGTCATCTGCCGTTCAGTGTAAAAATCAGTCGTACGAGGAATCACATGTAAATTATTCTTCCTATTTCTTTTTGAATATTTATAAATAAATTATATACCTCTTCCATTTAAATCCGCACCTTTTATCTTCACTTGAGCGATTCTGCAGTTAACACAGCCGTTGTCTCCACCTAAATCCCATCAGCATTCCCAGCAGCAGTCCATGCCAGCATCCATAGCACCTGTAGTCGAACCCGAATTGTGCACTA